GGCTAAAATTGAAAAAGACAAATAACTCTTTGACCTGTGGATTTGGCGTGTCCTCGGAGTCCGAGTCTGGTCAAGCGGGGCCGTGCGACGCTCTCATCGAGAAAACTTCTGGGAGTCACGCGTAAAAAAATAGAGTCAAAGATCAACGATCTTGCACCGATAAGAAGTCGTGTTTTCCTCAGACACGATGGTTTCCGTCTGTGATCACTTCAAGCTTATTCTTATTGTTCAAAAACCTACTTCGGGGCATCCAAATGTCTTTTCAAAAAAGCTTTTACGCACAAGATTGGGTAGGTATCCAGCCAGACTGTCACACTATCCTCCTTAGTGCTCAAAAGGTATTTATAGGGCCACGCTGATCACGTGGTCTTTGAGTCACTGTTACCAGGAACTGGACGAAATTATCCAGCAAAAAACAATATTTGCATTTGCTCTTGAATATTATATCATATGTTAAAATGTTATACTAATAACAGAAGCACTCAAGTCTACACAGGTTGAAACGACATCAGTTGTTCCCTTGTATATGTACATATTTTAAGACCTCCAAGTGCGAAGATCTCAAATATTCTGTGCATATTTTATGCTTTATCAGAGGGAAAAGAATATAAGAAATAGGTATGTGAATGTATGTGTTAAAAGTGAAAAACTGTCTTACTGGTAGCTTCTTATTCACTTTAAAAAAAGAAAGAAAAAAGTTTCATACCTGGACATGAAGTGTTTGATTCACTTAAAGAAGACACCGTGACTTCAGGGGAAGGTGCACCACTGATGGTGACTGATCAGAAAAAAGATTATAAAATTATTATTATCATTATTGATAATAATAATAAAAATAATAAAATGATAATAATAATAATAATAATAATAATAATAATAATAATAATAATAATAATAATGCACGCATATTGAGAGAAATCAAAATTTTGAATCTGTTCATAAAGTAAAAAAGATGGAAAAGAAAAGATAATAACAATCTGCAGCTCAAGTTATTATTATTACTAGTATTGTTATAAAGCTTTTTAATTGAGGTTAATATATGAAGTAGAGTGCACAGCACTTTAAAATCCGAGTGTGAAATAGATTTTTTTTTAAATATACATATTTTACTAAAATAGTCCTCGACACGTTTTGGGGGTTTTTTTTGTTCAGTATTTTACATTTTTCTTTCGATTTTATCTAATGTAACGTAACCTTAAATCCGTTTTGTTTATTCAAGTATCCAAAGTGCTGCATAAATAAGTTGTACAAGCGGAGCATGTCTGAAAGGTTTCAGACAGGCGCATAATTCCGTGATTCAAACGAAGAAAAAATTCTCACGGGTTTAGTGTTTTCCTCATCAACAATTCGCAGCATTATTCGTGGGCATTTTTTGCATATTTTACAGTGTTACACGGGGGTATAGTGTGCCGCAACCTGCTTCAATTCATCTTCGTGAAAGGCCAGGAGCAGATGACAAAGTGCAATGTGTGCGGGCTTATTTAAAGCAGGCGGGCATTCCAGTTCATTATGGGGCAGAAACATCGAATTACTGTAATGCGTTTACATCAGCACCCCATTAATCCTAGCTACAGGTCAAACAGCAAACAGATCAGATTCATATATGTCATATTTTTTGCTTTTAGGGTGGGTTTTTTGTTTGTTTGTTTTTGGGTTTTGGCACGTCAAAGAACAAGACTTTCATGCGTTTTCGACTACACTTGTTTTCTTTTTGTTGTTTGTTGCCTTTTCTTGAACAGTGTGTGTGTGTGTGTGTGTGTGTGTGTGTGTGTGTGTGTGTGTGTGTTGTTTTTACTGATAGAGCAAGTTCAAATCGAGCATGCGTAACCTTAAACATGGAAGCGCTTGCTGATCTATGTGTCCTGCTCTCTGACCTGCCTGTCACAAGTCTTTTAAAAATCTGAAATAGACGCTCTGACACCTGCCTGACAGCTACCCAAGAGACATAACACATTAACTTATATTAGATCATTCTTACGGAACCCAAGGCCCAGCCTTAGTTTTATTCACAGATCAGCGAAAATATTGCTCATATTTGTTTATTTATTCCCTCTATTATCTTTTAAAACACCGACCATATGTCACAATGACCTGCCTTACGAACAGAAGGGGTAGCAATTCGTATTGCCTTCATTTGATAACTAATGCTGGTTTTTTACTTACAGTATAACCAATGAATTAATTATATACATATTTACGTAAAAATATTGTCAGTCTACTTAATGCTACGTGTGTAATCACGTGGAAGTAAGAAGAGTAAGAGTTACCGGAGCTTTTGAGAAGTTATCATCTTTTAAAGCTTCAGTAGGCCTTAGTTCATATTCTCTGCGACTCTCAAAAAGAAGAGGCTTATTTCAGTTTATGGTGTTAAGGCGCCCTCTGCTGTTTGCAGAGCAGTGATAATTAAAGTCTTGCACTCGCAGGTAAGACTGTGTGCTAGCTGTGACTCATTCAAGCAGCAAATCGGTAAAACTTGCACTGACTGGCAGAGGTTATTGAAACATTCTCACGTAATGAGGAAACCACTTTATACAATGCAAAAGCCTTTGTTAGAAAAATGAATATAGTTTTGTTTTTTTTATAATGCCAGAGAAGTACATAACTTCTATATTAGGCTATAAAATATCAACTACTGTTGATGTGCAACACAACACTTCCTGAAAGAAACTGTCTGGCTGAATAGACGGTTAGTGTTTGACTTGAGGTTAAGGGAGCAGATTGTACTGTGAGACTAACAGCTGCTGAAAACTCATATGTAATGTAAATGAAGCCTGGTATAGCTACACATGAGCGCCAGCTGGATATTATTTTTAAATTGATGGCAAATAAAGAATAGAAATGTGATCATAATGACTGGATTGTGGCTTTCCTGGATGTCCTTTGGGATACTTAAAAAAATAACATTTTGCTTAAACAGTCACATTGTGTGTCTCAAACCTTCAGTGCGTTTTGTTGACGTAAGCACTTTTCAGCACTTGAATATGAAAATTAGATTGAGATTGCATCTCAGTGATGAAACACGAACACCGAACAAGACTTACCAACAAAATACAAATTTAAATAAGCTCATTTCAATAAATCAGAAAGTGTTTTCACTGGTGACTGCTCTTCAAAATATGTTCGGGTAAATCATAATTCAAAAAGTTAATGATTAAAAAACTTAATGGAGGGTGGAGAAAATTATACAAGTTGGACACGTCGTGCCTTTGCTTCCACCTAGTGGTGAGGCAGCTGTCCGAGTCCTTCGGCGACTTCAGCGCTTCAGAGTTATCTAATAAAAGTTTTGGGGCGTTTTTGCTGAATACACGGTTGTTGTGATTGGTTGGCGTGAGGTTTGGGCGGTGATGAGCAGACCTGGACTTTGAATTTGACTTTTCTGTTAGAATTGTTAGAAATTGTTGGGTTTTATCCTTCAAACGGAACAACCATTACAGTTTATACTTGCAAGTAAGTGCTTTACTCATGGGTATGTTTGCGTTTCCACAAATTTGTCCCAGGTGCCTAAAACGGAATGTTTTTCTTACACCTTTTTTCAATCTGTATTATAAGTCAAATATAAGTCATATAACTGTTTACACGATAATTTATCCCAACTATATACCTCAGAGATTAAAAAAAAATTGTTCCAGCTGTTGTCTGAAACATATTTTGTCTCCAGCAATAACTGCTATGCAAACTTTCTTTATGTCCTTATTTCATTAGATTACCAGGAAATTAATTTCCACAAAATACGGCTCATATGTGGCTCTTTTTTTGTTGTTTTCTTTTCTTGTGTTGTGTTGCTGTTGTTACAATTCACAAGTCTAGAAAATTACATGTAAAAATCCATAAAGAGGAAAAGCCTACAAGATATTAAAGATTATTATAGCAGGGATGCTTAACATAGCATAACAGTAATTAATAATTAATTAACAAATTAAAAAAAGGCTTAATGCAGGTTTTGGGGCATTTATTTATTTATTTTTACAGTTTGAGTATCTTTGTTAAATCGCCATGCATCTTTGCTAACCTGAATTCCATGTGATTGGTATCAAATTCAAGAATGATGGTAAAGATGATTTTAGTTTTAGTTTTGAGTCTAGTTTTTTAATTGAACACTTCTCAATAAAAACTCTATTTGTTTTATGTCATTTATTATTGATTATGTCAGTGAAATACATTTAAAATATAATTATTCATTCGTGCATTTGAACACAGAAAGTTCGAGTCTACCTGTACCCAACTCAAGACGTCATTTTAAAAGTGTGGATTTTGAATGGTTCATTGGTGATTCGTGGTGATGCAACGATTCATTCCAAAGAACTGACTAAAGTGGTTTATTTGTGAACTGGTTTAATATTTTCTCACACCAATTTAGGTTAAATCAATGTAAGAAAACTGTGTTCGTAGATTTTAGCTTGTATTGACATGGAATCTTTTAAAAATAAATATTACCCATTTTCATAGTTTTAAAGTTTTAAATGGTCAAGGAAAAAGGCTACATTTACTTTACTGTAAAAATCCTTTTTATTTCCTTTTTATATCCTTTGTCGCGTGTGATGCTAACACCCTTCCTTTAATAAAGTCTTTACATCAGCACAATATTTACATAAAAAAACAGCAGACGTGAAACAGCAGACGTGAACAGTCTATAAGTAACATGTAAACTTAAAAACAAACGGCAAAATACAGGAAATACGAAAGCAGTGTTTCACAGATTAATACATATTGAGATACACTCATGGAATGTGTCAAACTAAATGGCTTTACACCTTTTCAAATAGGAATGTTTCATAGTGAGGCTCGGTCTTATTGTGTCATGTCCTTTTGAGCTTGGCAAAAATTAAATTCCGAAATTCCAGCGTGAACTAAATCTATCATTTATTGTTATGCTGACTGAATAATATGGACTTATTATTTTTAAGCTGTTCTTCTGATTTATTTGGGGCTTTTTCCTTTAATGGGCAATTTAGGTCTAGAATCCTTCCTGTCTGCACTCAATTAAGTTTTTAGTTTTCATCTTACATATACCGCTCTAATCCTGACGCAAAGTTGGCTTGTCTCATGTAAGTGTTGTTGTAGTTCATGGGGCTGGAGAGGCCCAGTAGCTGCTCCGAGTGCTCGGCGCAGGAGCTCGGGCGCAATGCCGGTAGGGAGAGCCGGTTGCTCGTACAGTACACTTGGGAGCTGCCCGGGGAGAATCCGGACTGGGTCATGGTGGGTAGATTTGGAGGAGAAGCCGGAGAGGAATATGGGTACCCGGTGGTCAGGTTGGATGAAAGGTTCCCGCTGTTTCTGCTCAGCATGTTCGCTGACGGGTTGACAGTCTGAGTCTGGAAGCAAGCAGACGGGTCGGCGCCGGTTACCGAGCAGCTGGAGGTCATCGTGCTCAGATCGCCTCCACCCAGCCCCAGCGCTTGGGAGTTGAGGTCCCCAACTGGGCCGCTCTGCACAACCGTCTGCTGACTGATGATGTTGTCGATGCTGAACATGCGCGGCTGTCCTTGGCTGACTCCAGCAGAGGTCTGGTAATGATGCAGCATGGCTGGGTGTGGGGATGTGGCCGTCAGCTGAGAGCCGTAACCTGACCCTATGCCGGCATACAGGGCGTTTGGATACGAAGGCCTTCCCATTGGCGTTGGCGTAAAAGCGCTGGAGCTCTGCATGTAACCGGGGTATGTGCTAACGTCTGTGCGCTTGAATCTTTTCCTTCTCCTCAAAAAACTTCCGTTGTCAAACATGTCCTCAGCTGCGGGGTCTAACGTCCAGTAATTGCCTTTACCTGGTCTGCCGGGCTCCCGGGGGATCTTCACAAAGCAGTCATTGAGCGTGAGGTTGTGGCGGATTGAGTTCTGCCACTTCTTCGAGTTCTCCCTGTAGAAAGGAAAGCGCTCCATTATGAACTTATAAATGCCCCCTAAGGTGAGTTTCCTCTCCGGGGAGTTGGCAATGGCCATTGCGATGAGAGCGATGTAGCTGTAGGGAGGCTTCCCCCTCTGGACGGGCCTCTTCCTCCTGCGGCTCCCCGAGGGCAGGTGCTCTTCAGTCTGACCCAGAGCGCCTCCGTCCTCCGTGTTGGGACTGTTTCCTCGGGGCTCGGACTTGATCAAAATGCTTTCCTTTGACCGGGCCTGCAGCATCAAAGGCGGCGGAGGCAGTGGCGAGTCCAGGCTCACATTTGGAGACATGACAACAGGACTTGCCTCGGCAGGTGATTGCTCTGCGGTCATGTTGCACATGCCAGAGAAGTAGGAATAATTTGCTAGATTCATAAAAGAACCAATGCAACGATCGCCTTTTTGTCGAAATGATCAGCAGGGGAAAGAATCAACCAGGTGCATGTACAGCCCCTTGCTCTGGCCCCTATCCTGCCCTGGTGTTTGGGGTAGTGTGTGTGTCAGTTCAGGTGAGAGAAAGGCGTTGACAGTTTTATATGACAGGGCAGGAATGACGCCACTGAGTAGCCAGTGACGACTGAGGCAGGAGGACCCACCGAGTACTCACCCAGAAATTGACAATTTTCTAACAGACTGCTGTTTATATAATACAAAGACTTGCATGTAATGCTAAATTTTTAGATTGTAAAAAGTGTTGTATTTTTACATTGTAGGATTTAACATCTTTAATCAGAAGAGGCCCGTATATGGCAGAACCAAACAATAATATTGCATTTATTTGTCATTCTCACATGGATGTAATGTTTGAGCCACTAACAAAAATTTTAGTGGCGATGCATTCTCTGTCTCTCTCTCTCTCTTTCTCCTTGTGTGTCTTTATCTCAGCTGCTCTCTCTGTGCTTTCACTAATGCCTGTGTGTATATCCAGGGCAGAAACAACACTCGGAGAGCTGCTCCATGCTACTCCAAACCCAACAGCCAATCCACCAATTGAAAAATAATAACAAGCCACTGAAAACAAGCAATTGAGCTATCAAAGCTTTTGGGCAAGAAAAGTAAATATCCCTTCATTTCATTTTCATTTTTGGAGAGTGATAATCAAACACTCCCCGTGGTGTAGAGGAGAGGTGTTATCTTATGGATTTTGAAGTAAAAACAGGGTTGTGCACACAGTTGGTATGCAGACAACACTCTTTGAAGACCAGAACTTGAAAGTGCTTTTAATTGATCATTCAGGCAAAAGAGAAGGCTGAAGTTAATTGCACAGGTAAAACGCACAGAGATGAACTACCAGTGTTTAAAATGTGGGTTAAGGTGTTGAAGCGAGCTGAAGGGAAGCTTAATAATGTCAATGACATCCAAGCAACAAATTAAAGGAAAACCCAGGATAGAAGTGGTGGAATCCCTGGAAGAGTTCATAAGTAACTATTACGTGAGCAGTGTTATAAGTCACGCAATCACCAAAAATCTAATTCAACAACAACACATCACACAAGGTTACATTTTTTGGTAGAAGGGTCAAATCTATGACAAACTAAACTGGGAGCATGCATTTGCCAGACACCATATTGGAATATTTTGTTTTTCCTTTTAGTTGATCTCCCAAATATTACTGTACAAATATGTGGTCAATCATTGACAACTAGGTAGAACAGATCCATGGAGACAGAGCGATGATGTTCAAAAGAAGAAAGACGAGATGGCTCGTTTTCCTTCCAACATGAGTAACACAAATAAAAAAGTTTTGACAACAGCCAGACCAAAGCTATTAATCATCGCTGCCCACTCTTCTCCCAGATGCCTTTCCCCCCCGATCACCCTCTCTCTGCCAGCACACAGGAGCTGCCACCCCTTCCCACAGATGACTGGACCCCTCCCCACCCAGCCACAGCTCAGACAACACTAAGCCCAGCTAGCTACTCACAGCCAGTGGCTAACAGCTTCAGACAGGCGTGGGAGCGGGGATGTATCCAAGCAGGATCTGCCCCCAGAGCTGTCAGGTCAGGCAGGACAAACAGGGGCTCAGGCCAGGAAACGAGGCCTTCTGCCTCGGGGCCTGCGGCCTCTTGCTAATCCCCACCCTGACCACCTCATTACCCTGTCAGAGCCTTCACACCTCTCTGTACCTCAACACTTTCAGTACATTAGTCATGTTGTACGGCCAGTCTGCATGCTTGTTTCTCTGTCACACCGTACTTTTACTTACTTTATTATGTTGTGGCTAGTCAAGAAAAAGCCCGCTACAGTAAAACATTTTAAATTAAGTCTATGGATGTGGGAGAATTAATCTAAAATGTAGAACAAGAGAAGTTACCAGCACCCAAAAAGTGGAAGTTTCATCTTAGAGTACAAAAACCCTGCTTAATTCTTAATAACTGCAAGAATAGTGACTAAAACTAACTGCAACTCTTAGCTGCAATCCAGTTGTTTAATATGTTTAATAGCTCCATTAGAACATTTTTCATCAAATTAAACTTTCATACATTTGCTATTTTTTATATTTAACTGTATATTAGACTGTAGTCAGTCAGTTGGAGTAACTTCACTTGTGGGAAATATTTGTTTGTTTTTTCGTCAGAAAAAACCCGACTTCCTTAAACCCCTCTGAACCTATGCTGTATTCTAAAGCGAGATGAATCATGTATCATATCGACAGGATTTTAACTGGAAACTACTTGGTAAGTGACAAATTATTTTAACGTAGAATCCCCCAAATTCACTAGTAAACAGAAGTCACAGACTTTCTCTAACATACAGAGCAGAGCATATATTTATAAGAGCATGAAGACAAAATATGAACAGGTAACTTTTTTCACCAACATCAGACACACAGTTAAACATCGCAGCCACTGTGCTTTAAAGGGTAAACATGAACTGATCAGAACGCCATTCACTGGACACTTTTTTAGTTCCACCTGTTTCACTGCGCATTAACCTAAATATATAATCAGCCACTCACATCACAACTTAATGCATTTAGACATGGTCAAGTCAACATGCTGAAGTTCAAACTGAGCATCAGAATAGAGAAGAAAGTTGATTTAAGTGACTTTGAATGTGATATGGTTATTAGTACCACATGTACTGGTCAGAATATTTCAAACTGCTAGTCTGCTGGGATTTTCCCACAAAATCATATTTAGGGGTTACAGAGAATGGTCTGAAAAGGAGAAAAATATCAACTCAGAGCTGATAGGAAAGCAACAGTAACTCAACTAACCACTTGTTACAACCAAGATGTGCAGAATAGCATCTCTGATACAGTCCTCACAGATTTGCCAGAATTGGACAATAGAAGATTGAAAAGCATTGTCTTGTCTGACGAGTCATGATTTCTTCTGCCACATTCAAATGGTACAGTCAGAATTTGGTATAAACAACATGAAAACGTGGATCCTTCCTGCCTTTAATTAACAGCTCAGGCTTCTGCTGGTGGTGTAATCATGTGGGGGAGATTTTTTCATACACTTCGGGTTGCTTAGTACTGACTGAGCATCATTTAAACACCACAGACTGCTTAAATATGCTTGATGGACATGTCCGCCCTTTTATGACCACAGTGTACCCTGCTTCTGAAGTCTCCTTGCAAGAGGATGACACACTACCACAAAGCTCAAATCACCTCAAACTGGTTTCTTGAAGATGACAATGACTTCACTGTATAGTCATCTACAGTCACCAGATTTCGGTCAAATAGACTTTTGGGATGTGGTGGGATGGATGTGCAGCTCACAAATCTGCATCAGTGGGATGATGCTATCATGTCAATACTGAATGTTTCCAGCACCTTGTTCAATCTATGCTGCAAATAATGAAGACGCTTATGAAAGCAAAAAGCAGTCCAACAATACTAGCAATGTGCATCTAACAAAGTGTCCTGTGAGTGTAAACTGGATGCTTATTTAAGGGTAATCGAATGAAGGAAAGATGGCTACTTCATCTCAGACAGACAATTTCACATGTCCAGTTTTATTTTGTTCTAAATGTTGATTCCACATTGTGCCGCCACACTGGATATTACATCCATCCTGAACCACTTCAGCCAGAGTTTGACATTGGGGGAATTTTCTCTCAGGAACTGATCATAAGTTTGCAAGATTTTCTGAACCACTTATGCCACTGGTAGGAAATCATGTAGCACGACTCCTACAGCATGTACTTTTCCAGTTTTGTTTTAATGTTCTTCACAAGTTTTAGCAAATCTCAGTTACATTTCCAGTCATATTTCCCAGTTTTCTAAGAGATTCACTGATGGTAGCAAGTTCACAGGTTCTCTTTTCCTTTTCCATGAAATCCTGAGAAGTACAGAGGGTGAGATGGACGGACAAAGTTGCTGAGTAAACACTTGGAATCTATTCATTCGCACAGTGGCTCCAGGGGATGGGGAGGAGGGGTTCATGAGAAAAAGTGGGGGAATGAATGAGCGAGGGACAGAGGGAAAGAGAGGGAGACACAGAGAGAGAAACACACGGGAGAGCGCAACCTTTTTCTTGCTCAAGCTCATCAAGTACGGGCCAGGGCTCCTGAAAACGCAGGGATTACCAGGGAACAGGGGCTGTACTGGCCAGGGCCGCCTCTGCTCACTCCTGCACTGCACGCTACACTGCCCCGCTAAAGCACAGCGCATGGTTCTCACACACACACACACACACACACACACACACACACACACACACACACACACACACACACACAAATCAGTCATGCCTTGATGCTTACATATAAGGTAATCATATCTCATTTTCAAAATTTCACATGAACACACAGATAAAAAAAAGAGTGAATATATGCATCATAAATAGCTTTATAATTACTTCACAAGTAGTAATTTAAAAGTAATCATCTCTAATTATTATTATTATAATTTTTACATTTTGGGACGTTAATGCAATAATAAACTGTCTAGAGCAAACCCCAGTTTTCTACTACTGACCTCTGACCATTCAAATGAAGAAACAGACTTTACTTAATACAGAATATACAGTTTATTCTGCAATCGTTCCTTCACTAGGCAACATAAACCTTTGACCCATTGCTATATGATTAAAGATGTGCTACTTAAGTTACTTCCTGGATAAATACTTGTCTGCCCCCAAGACACCCAGACAATCCCTCAGCCTTGGGCAATGCAGTGAGGGATGCTGCAAAATACATACGTTAGACTGAACACCAAGCAGAGGTCAAATCCTGTTAAGGTAAACACAAACAATGAGGAAGTGAGCAACATGTGCATAAAGTGGAAAACATGACCATCTGACAGAGTCTGTTGAAATGCTTCAGGGGATTCTTTTAGCAAGAAGCAAGTGGTGCATAAACAGAAAACTGAAGGTTAAGGAGAAGGGAAAGCAAAATATAACGGCGAAACTTTTAGTGTT